CTTTGCAGAGTCGGTTCTCCTTTGCAGAGAATGCGTTGTCCGAGAAAGACTCGGGTTTGCACCCTTTCAAGCCTAAGTCCTTATACCTCAACGGGTCACATGGTGACCAATTGGCTAAACATGACCTGAGTCTTCTTCAGGTTAGTTTTCAGTCTTGCTTTGATAATGATGCCTTTACTATTGGATGTTTATATGAAGGCTTTCTCGCAACTTCGAGAGGATCAAAATACACTCAGAGTTAATAAATCTGATTCTCTCAGTTAATCACTTTCCCTTTATCCAATAATAGGTATATGATGCTCCTGCAACGTTTCCCACCAGTAGAGGTTAAAGTATTTTCTCTTTTCCAACCTTCCACTAATATCTAACAGACGACTCCGCGCCAATTCGCTTTGTTGATGCTCACCATAAGCTAAATTTATTTGATATTTATTTGTTGTTTACTAACGATGTTTACGCATACAACTAAAATTCAGGGAAACCAGATTTAGCCGCATGCGTGCAGGTTCGACGATAGTCGGATTTTCGTTGATTTTGTTAGTCGATGAAGCCTGGTGCTCAGCGTTAAATGTTCAAGCCCGTTCGTCGTCCTGTCACGTTAACCGTTATGTGCACGACGTCATCAAGAAATATGCCCTACAGAGGTTACGTACGGGTCAAAACTGGCATGAATGATTATAAATAAGTTCCGATCGGACTACTGTGGCCTGAGTGTCACCTGTCGCATACGTCATAAAAACCAGTTTACGTTTCATTATCCCACCCTGGAAATTCGGCCGTGTTCTGTCGTTTTCTTTTCCAAACCAGTGGTCGTATACCAATCCGCTCTTGAGCAGTCGATTGCGTGTAAGTCCATGATTTGCTCGATCGCTAACACGTTCAGCTTCCTCGTCTTCCTCAACTGCATTATTCACGGATTCAGTACCGAGGGTAAGTAGCGCGTATTTCTTGTTATAAACGTTTATCCTGGCATCTCGCAGAGTGGTACGAAACTTGAGGCATGTCTAGTGACCATTGTCTAATGACCCGCATTACATCGTGATCTTTGATGCTCATCTGTACATCTGATTAAGTGTGCCGTTCATCAACAAACAGGAAATTCAATAATATTCCTGATGACTGCCATGCAACAGAAGTTCAGTGGTCAAACTCTGAATAAATACAAACATCACGTGGCAGTATGTCAGAATGTTGAGAAAGAGAGAGGGTGTCACGCTAGCGCGAATCTATAACAGAGGCTTGTTGTCTTTGTCACCTAATCAACTGTGCGTCTGAACAATGAGCGTCTTACGACCAGAGGATTGTAACCACACATTGTTATGGTTCAAGTAAGGAAACAGGCATGTTCACCTTCACGACGATATGCTGATTCTTCAAATTTTTGTGAGCGATAGTCAAAGTTTGTGATCAAGTGGTCAAACGTCACAGAAATTAACTATCGTACTTCGTCAAACAGTTCATCTAACACAAAAATTCTCTTACTGAGGGTTTTGACCAAAGGAGGTGATCCGGGTCGCGTATTTCAGGAGAAATTTTTACCTATTCGATGGGCATATCAAATAGAACAAACAATCACCTATACAAGAAACGCGATCATCACATAATCTGCGACTGGTGTACATTTGCCAGCTATTTCGATAACCAGAAAATCTTAAAGAACCTGAAAAAAAACCTCGGCAGGAATGCAGCCAAATACTCTCTGTATAATAGACCATGAAGGGGAGAGAGCACAAACTGGAGCTTGCGATGTCATTGCATAAGTGAAAACATTGAAATGGTAATGGGAATAACACACTGCAAGAAAAACCGACACGATTACTGGACCAGATACATTAGACCGGGTTACAAGAGAAACAGACGGCCTGGTGGATGGGCGGATGAGGTGAAAAAGTTCTTTGTATTCAGGTGGACAAAAATCACAGAAAACAGAAGTTTATTGCAAAGCCTCGGAGAAGCATTTATCCAGCAACGGGTCGATAAAAAAACTGGGCTGATGATGACGATTGACCACTGCTGATGCTTCGTCCTGAATCTCACGGTTTCATTAAAGTCGGACACTGGCTTTTCCAGGGGACGTCGTTTCGTGAAACGTGTCGAGTCGTAAGGCGAGTATTAGTTCCTTGCTTGAAATCAGGCGTGATCACCTTCAAACTTTCCTCATACAATTGTCACAGGATCTCATCTGTCACAGAATTGCATTTTAAATATCCTTTTGATCACGAACGTTCAATCAAACGTCATTTGCACAGTGTTTCCATACAAATATTAGTGAATATCATAAACTTACTGGCTACGATCCATCGATAAAATGCAAGAATATAAGCATTTGTTCCTTGATAGTCCAAAGATAATCAATCTGATCTGTTACTGTACTGTTTACGGGAAGAAAAATCTTAGGTCTTGAGTTTCTAACCATTTTTGAGGACGGAACAATATTATCTGCATAAAAAATCGTTTCAGAAAATGACATCAACAACGTTGACGAAAAGTGCTCCTTGAAGGTGGATCCTGGCTATTGTGATGGTAACTATCGACGTTGGTTCTACAACCCTTTCAAGGACGATTGTCAGTCGTTCGCCTACGGCGGATGCGGCGGCAATGAGAACAACTTCTTCACTCGCGAGATGTGCACGGAAAAGTGTCAGCCATGGCTTTTGCCTAACCGTGAGTAGCTCGCCTTGTGTACTCAGATTCTGGTTCAACTCACGCTCCTTTCTGCACAGGTGACAAAGACCCGAAATGCTTTGCCCCGCCGACCAAAGGTCCCTGTTATGCTCGTTTCTATCGGTGGTTCTACAACCCGGAGATGAAAGAATGCTTAGAATTCATTTACGGCGGATGCCATGGAAACAGCAACAACTACCTTACACAGGAGGCGTGCTTAACGGGCTGTGACAAATCGTACAATAAAAGTATGTTGTCTTGCGCTTTGGATTTATGGATTTGAATCTGCTTCAAGTGGAAGTAACTTTCAATGTTAAGTACAATTGTCAAGATCCACCTTAGGTTTAAAGTTCAAGCAACGGTAGCACCCCCCCCACATATCATTCTGATGGCGAACGCTGATCAATTAAGTTTTTCAAATCTCTGTTGTGACACCTTCCCAGGAAAACTCAAGGTTCTTACCATGAATGAATAGACACGCGTGAGCGGGTACTCCTCATACATTACAGTACAAACGTCAGT